TGGCCTAGAGGTTAAGGTTTCGGCCTCTCATCCAAAGGTCCCGGGTTCGAATCCAAGTAGCAACCGAAACATTTTCTTCTCTAAAATTATCTCCTTTCCAGCTCTCTAGCAATATTCTGTCGTCTGCTTTCGTCTCCTCTTTCTGCCCCGACCCCCTCACATCCTTTGCCCCTTCCGCCCCCTCCTCTGGGCTCCTGACTCTTTCTGTAGCATTTCTACTGCTACTCCTTGGCTCCTTCTTACTGATATCTTTCAGCCACACCCCTGATCTTCTGGTAAGAAAGGTCTTCACCTAGCCTTCTCGGACAAGGGCGAAAATATTGGAGGGTCCATGTGCAAGTTGCGCACTTTAAAGACCCCTTGGTGGTCTAAAATCGATAAGAGTATCCTTCGCAGCTACCCGGGCAAAATTCAAAATTTCTTACTAAGTGAAAAAGTTAAATGTGCCCCGCACGCTCATTATGACCTTATGCAGTTGCTAGCGCCGTTAAACACTTACCAAAAAAAAAGGAAAAAGAAGAAGATTAGTCTTTGTAGCGTCACAACCGACAGCATCTAGTAACCCTAGTCGTGTCTGGGCTGTTTGCTTTTTAAGCATTTTATATTCTATCTTCTTCTTCTTGGTCGTATCACACTTGGGTACCGGTTTCTATCAACATAAAAAGGCGTAATGGGTCACCTTTCTCTGTTTCCCGGTTAGCCATAGAAGCCTTTTAAACTTAATGATTATGTTTCTGTGTCTGTCGTTCTTTTTTCATCTCCAGTCATGAGTTCCGAGGGCACTTATTTCCAGGAACGACTTCTAAGTGTTGTGATTGCTGTTTATAGCCTATCCAGTAGTGGCTTCAGATTGCTGACCTTACCAGCAGTGACATTTTTGTTGCTGTTTATTCCCAGTGGTGGCGTGCATTTTATGTTCTTGGTTTTTGGGGGGCCTTTTTGCTTTCACTGTTTGTGGTCGTTGTTTTTTTGTTTGTTTTTGTTTGTTTTCTTTTTTTTGCCGAAGTGACTTCTGGTTGTTTTTAAATTAAACTAAAAGCATCAAAGAAGAGGGATAGCGAGTGGTTGGAAGGCGTCACTGGTAGGTTCTACTTCTTTACTTTCCCTCTGTTGTTTCTGTCTGTCTGTCTTACTATTTCCTCGCACCAAATGGCCATCGTTGTGTCGATGTGCTTCCCTTTACTCAAACAAACAAACAAACAAACAAACAAGCAAACAAACAAACAAACGAGAGGAAGGATATGTTTTGATTCACCATCGGCCACTTATTTCTTTTTTATTTGTAAGAAATTGAGACAAGACTCTGTAAAGAAAGTAATTCATTTTGGTAACAGTACATAGACAACATTGGATGAAATGATGTAGAACATTTTAAATAGATAAAAAGATAAATATTAATATCATATAAATAATGTATTAATACTGGTACCAACTATGGTGAAGTTTATTATGAAATCTTTGAACATTTGTTGATAAAAAATGAGGACGGTCATTAATGGCAACAGTAATGAAATTAATTATTACAATCATGTTAATGTTGTAGACGATGATGAAAATGATAATGTTGAGGACAACGATTACTATGTTATGGTAATCATGGTGATGATGATGGTTATGGTGACACAGATGATACTAATGGTTACGAAGACGATGATGGTGATAAAGATGGTGGCTGAGACGATGATGAAGCTTGTTCATGATCTTGATGATTTTTGCAAGGGTTATGAAAAAAGATGACTGTGGTGGAAATGACTACTATCCTGTGTAAGCTTAAAAAACAAAACAAAAATATATGATAATTACAGTTCCTATCATGTATATATATAATAACACAACATATATGAACATGACACGTGCACTATGCATTCATTCCCGTTGATGCATTAGTTAAATATCATTCACAGATCACATTGGCAGAGAGCTTTAAAGCCATATCATATCACTTGTGTACTCACATAAAGTGTAAGTACGCTGTATTGTTAAAGAAACAAGTCCTCACCCCCCCCCAACCCCAAATCCAACCTCTGCATTTTTTCAAACCCCCTATTTCCACTTTCTTTAGGATACTTCTGAATGGATTCTAGCGGATTTTCCTTTCTTTAATTAAGCCTTCAAGCATCGAGAGCAGTAGTCAGATTGGTTGTAAGTAAGTGTAAGTGTTTAACGCCCCTCTCAACACTATTAGGTTATTAAAGTCGTGGGACCCCCGAATCTAGCATCCGCCTCCGATAGGGCCAAACCAATTTGGTTGAGAGCCTTGAAAACTCCACAAAACGACCAGAGATCAAGAACGCCCAGTCTTGGAATCGAATCAGGGCCACCCGCCCGCTCCGTAGCCCAGCATGAAAACATCTGAGCTAACAGGGTGCCCCTAATGTGGCCTTTGGTTCGCCATAGTAGACTTGTGAAACAGCAAAGATCTTTGGTAAAAGCCAACTTCATTTTGCATTTGTTTTTGCTGGCTTCTTTAGGCTGCCATAGACGCAATTTAGATATTAATATTCATTCCAGCAGGCAGAAAGACAGGGACACTCGATGAAACAGGCTTTCCAACATAGGAATCGAAGATATATATATATATATATATTGTGTGTGTGTGAGTGTGAGTGTGTGTGTGTGTGTGTGTATGTATGTGTGTGTGTGTGTATGTGTGTGTGTGTGTGTGTGTGTGTGTGTGTGTGTGTGTGTGTGTGTGTGTCGTAGCAATCTTGTTAAATCATGGAAAAAATAAGGCATGAAGTACTTTTTCATTTCAATAATGATAAACCCATCAACACGACAACAGTCATTTGATTTAGTGCCAGTATAGAGAACGCAACGTTCTAACCTTAATGGAATCCGGTGTTTTAAAAGCAGTATTCGACTCGTATTTTAGCTTGGGCTAAGAGAAACACTTTATCAACACAATAAAAGGTCACTTTAATAACTCAGCTAGTTGTGTGGGGGAGAATCAGGTCGGGTTGGACGATGGGCTTGCGACTGCGCACTTGTCAAACTTAACCTCTGATTAGCTTCAACAAAATTGTCAAAAGCGAGCGAAAAGAGGCTTCACACGTCAATGGTTGTTCTTTATTCAGTTTTAACTTCTTGTAATCACATGATGAGCCCTGTAACAAAAACTTTTGATTTTGAACGGTCGGATCTGTGTATGCCTAAATCACAAACATTTTATGAAAATCTGTGTAGACAAACCGTTCAATTTCTGCAGATCGTGCTGAATCAGATAAAGGTCGCGTACGTGTGCACTTGATATTGACAACTAGACTAAGAATTCAACAACCTGTCAGGCCAACAAAAAACCAAATGGATAAACAAAGTATGATGATAATGTAACAGGTCATCACTCAAGTGTTACATTTGTTAATATGTTCATCGGATGAACGTTCTCTCCGACGCCATCACAGCTTAATGCCACACCTCCAGGGGTCACTCCCGGCTTGCTCTTCCGGCCAACACAGCAGATGGCTAGTGGTCATATCTTGTTGTCCACATGGTGGCTGATAGTGGACACCTTAGTGGACTGAGAGGGAACTTTCTCCTCCGACGTCTCGAACACGCGCCGAGGCAAACACTTCTTACAGAACAACCGGAAGGCGAAGGAGCGGAAGCGCTTGGCGGTGAAAAAGTACAAGAAGAAGTTGACAGCATGCGATGAATCGGTCATGAGATAGGCGACCTGTGAGAAGAGGTTCCAACGAGCTTCCTCAACTCCTTTCGTGTCCCTGTCGTGGCCAAGGAAGTAGATGCAGGCGGGGAGACTGAGGATGAGGAAGACGACCGAGGCGATGATAAGCATGATAGTAATCATCCTTTCCGTCTTCTCTGTCGTTTTGAGGAGTCGCTGGTCAGCGGCGGATGTTGGACCGCCTTCGGATCCTTTCCGCATGAGACTTCTTCGGTGTTTACGAGCCTGTGAGAGCGAGCGGACGATGGCGATGGTAAGCCCAGTGATGACGAGGAAGGGGAGGAAAAGATAGAGAGATACACTGATCCAGTACCAGCCGTGGGCCCAGAACTTGGTGTATTTGGACGGGGTCCCGCAGTTGTGGTCCCCGGCCGGCTCTCGCATCAGAGCGAAGAAGCCGGTGAAGATTAGCAGCAGGGCGACGGAGACTACAGCTGCGGCAATGTAGCAGCGTCGCTTGGTGAGCAGGTAAACCTTCTTCAGAGGGAAGCAGACAGAGATGAACCTGGGGGAGATAATGCATTTTAAGTTATAATGTAGGTAAGGTATGAGTATACTTTGCTGGTCCAACAACAGAAGAAATTGAGTTTGCCAGCTTTTGTTCACATCCGATTTTAGGAATAATGAGTATTTATCAATACTATAAGTACACGTAAGCTTAGATTTATATATTTCTTGGTTCGGGCCGGAGAAGAAAAGACAAGGAGGAGTGGTTGGGGGTGTCATTTTCAGTTTATATTTTTGCTCCAGCTACTCATTATTAATCGCTATGATGTTCTGGTTTGACTTTTTGTCTTGTGATCGAAGAAAATACGTTCAACTTCCCTTATGAGGAATGTTCTGTCTTGTATCTTACTCTTTTCTAATTGATTTATCTCTCACAGTCTGATTTGGCAATGACACATGGGCCTAAGTAGCCCGCCTCCAGAATCATCGGGGAACGCTGCCTACTTTCCATATGAGCAAATAATCTAACACAACACTAACAGACATACACACTCTCACAAACAATGTAAGACAGCAAATAACATACGCTCTCACACACACAAGCAATTTAATACGACTTAAAAGCATAAAAAAGTACAAACAACATAACACAGCTAACAAACATACACAAGCACAAACAGCCTAACACAACTAACAAATATGCTACACATAAACATGCACACGCACAGACTCTCTTTCTCTCTCACTCTCTCTCTCTCTCTCTCTCTCTCTCTCTCTCTCTCTC